GTTAAAGACATGTAAAACATACATAATACAGACAGAATTGTATTAAAAGTGCCTTTAGTTGCTCAGTGTGTTCACTATTTGGGTTCATTACACAGATTATAAATCACTCTGTGCTCTTACAGTTTATTGATCACATCCACGTAGTCAGTTAACTCAAGGACGGATAAAACCTGGGATGCGGGACTGTGCGTGTACAGCATCTGATCCCGCATCTGATCCCGCCTGTAAGCAGGAAGTGCGGGGTTGGTGTCTGCGTGACGTGACGCGCATGCTCACACTGGGCGGGCCAAAAAGCTGGTGGTCACCCCCACAGACACACACAACTGGGCAAAGTTTATCCACCGCTGTAGTAAAGTTGACCAAGAGGCCACTGCTTACTGGAAAGAGGAGAAAACAACACGTTTTTCTTTTATTTATTTATTTTTTTTTTATTTTGCGTGGAAACGTGTCGTTTTTGTATTAAAATCCACATTTTAATACTCGGACTTATCTTTTGGATATAGCTGGTTTCCCACAACACACAACTACTAACGTGAAGATGGGACGTTTCCTCTAAAGGCTTGTTTTATAATCGGATTTAGGGTGAGTCTACACGTTTTATCTGTGTTACTTAAACCTAACTTAGGCTTTTATTTTGAAATGTTTCATTTTAAATAAAACGTAAAGTCTCGATGTCTCTCTGTTACCGCCTCTTGTTTATAAGCTGCTCCACTCCCTGGTCGTGTAACGTTAACTAAAAACGTCGCTTTTATAAAAACAAAAGCTTAGGATGTCTTAAAGCTTCTGGACTTTCCGGTTTTGTTAATGATTTTAAACAAATTAACCCCCCAAAAAAAAAAAAAAACCTCCTCAAACAGTCGCTCTCAGCGGGCTAACGCTAACGTGGCGGACTTTAAACTAACGGTTAAAATATAAAACCCTCTTTTTTATAAACACAGCGATCTTGTTGTGGAGTAAACTCACAGTTTGCGACCGATTTATCGACGTTTAACGTGAATCCGGTCGCTTGTTTACCGCAGAAACGTTCCGCGCCAAGGATTTCAAAAACAGTCTACCTGCGCGGGACACACTCTCCGCTTCCGGTTGGCTGCCTCGCGCCGCGCTCCCATTGGCTGCCTCCGAGAAAAAAGGGCGGGACCAGCGGACGTCCGTTGGCCGCGGCGATTCGACGCAACGTACGTCAGTTACCGCCAATATAAAACCTGTGGTGTTTTGATTTAAACCGATTATTTTTTGATCGATCTCCCCGAGAAAAGCACAAAAACGGGGTTTATTAGCAGTAATTTAATTTATTTATATTATTTATTGACTTGTTGTTGTTGACAAGCAGTTTTAGAAATGTTGGTACCCGAGAAATGTGTTTCCTTGAAGAAGCGGTAAGGTTGTAATAACTTCATATAATTAATAATTCAGGAATTAATAGGCAACGTTTTGTTTGGTTAATGGTGTTAATCAATACGGCAAATTAAAACGTAAAAAAAAATAGGGTAAAATCTGGTGGGAAAGTGTAAAGTTTTAGGTTAAAAGCTGCTTTTTTCCTTCACCTATACTGTTAAAAGCATATTATGAAAGATTGATGAGCTGAGTTTATTATTGTATTAATGCATAACGTTAACTGTAATCTTTATTGTATATATATATATATATATATATATATAATATATATTATCAAGTACAGTTAAAATGACAAATATGTAACTTGCTGTAATAACTTCACATAAGCAGTAATTTAGGAATTAATAAGCAATGTTTTATTTAGATTAATGATACTAATACATATGGCAAATTAGAAAAAGTAGTAAAAAATCAGACACATTTTAGCCAATATAAGTTAATACCTATTTTTTCCCATAGCCCACACTGTTGAGAGCATATTATGAAGGATTTTCACAATAGTTTTATACCCTGAGCTGATGTATAAATGCATAACGTTAGCTATGATCTTTATTAACTTCTTGCAAAGGTGGAAAATATCAAGTACAGCGCTTGAATGTCAAAATCTGACCCAGAAATATCATTCAAAGGTCAGTAAGTACAAATGTTTCTCACACACAATTTGTTAAATCAAATCCCAGTGTCCCTCAGTAGGAATTTACGTGCTCGTATCTTCTGTTTCCTCCCTTTTGCTGACTAGGACGATGGCTTTGTAGCACCCCAGGTTCCCGTAAATACCCCAAAGAAAGTATCCGGTCAGCGTGCATTGTCAGCGGAGAACCGGCCGACCATGGGGCCCCTCACGACGCCTAAAAAAGGAAGGGAAGTGGGTTCAGTCGACCCCTGGACGCCGACCTCCAACCTTAAAATGCTCATCAGCGCGGCCAGCCCCGACATCAGGAACCGAGAGAAGGAGCTGTGCATGGACACCGACGGGCGGGAAGGTGTTGACTCCATGCAGGTACAAAAAGCAACTCGCGCACAATGAATGGGCACTTTCTGATGAGTCAGGATGCTGGAAGGAACACATTTCTTATCTCTCCGTTTATCCTCCCGCAGGACGCTGAGAACGGAGAAGAGTCCGAGAAGATGATCAGCCGGAAAGAGAAGAGTCTGGGTTTGCTCTGTCACAAATTCCTCGCCCGCTACCCAGATTGCCCGAACCCCGCCCTGAACAACGACATCTGCCTGGATGATGTGGCCACTGAGCTCAGTACGTCTTCTGTATCAACTGCTGTCTAATAATCAATCATACCATATCAATCCATCCATGCAGACCACAGTCAGTGTGTCAGATATTTGGCAGCTAATGGTTGATAATACAAATAATGTGTGTATCATATGCTGATATTCCTTACATAATACGTCTGAATTCATCCGTAATTTCATTTTGAGACTAAATTAAACACCTCCACCAACTGACAGTGTATAAAATGTTCCCTAAACAGGAAATAATCTGCTCAAACTTGATCTAAATAACTCCTACTCCGCTGAATTTGTCAAAAAAAGAAGCCTTTTAAGTGTGTATGATTGTTAAAGACATGTAAAACATACATAATACAGACAGAATTGTATTAAAAGTTCCTTAAACTATCAGGAAAACACAAGTTGCTCAATCAGTGTGTTCACTATTTGGGTGAGATTGTCAAATATCTTCCACACTGATCACAAATCTTATGTCTAGTTTATTGTCACAGATGCAAATATGTGAGTTTGTGGGAAATAAAATCACAAATAATAACAAACATTGCGACACCAGTTTCATTTATTAACTTGAGTCATTATGTTTTCTCGCCGCCGGCACAGATGTGGAACGTCGGCGCATCTACGACATCATGAACGTGCTGGAGAGTCTGCACATGGTGAGCCGCTCCGCCAAGAACCGGTACACGTGGCACGGCCGGACGAAGCTGGCTCAGACTCTGGCCATCTTGAAGCAGGTGGGCGAGGAGCACAGGTACGGCCAGCAGATGCAGCAGATCCGGCAGCGTCTCCTGGACAAGGAGTTCGACTTTGACGAGGAGGAGAAGGAGAACAAGGAGATGGTGGTGGTGGACCTGGAGAGCGGGGAGCAGGGACAGAAGGAGCTCTTCTTCGTGGAGCTTCCAGGAGTAGAGTTCAAAGCAGGTGAGAAGCTGGAGAGCTGGTGGGTCGTATTTAAGGCATAATTCCTCATCGGAAGTGGATACCAGATCCGATCTCCTCAGTTTCAACATCCAAAATGGTTGATTTTAGGTCATTTCTGTTCCAAAAGGCATTAAACATCCTTTAAAATGACCTTTTACAGATGGACTTGTTCTGTAGTTATCAAATGAAATATACACACATTTTGTTTTTGAAAGCTTCATGCATCCTAAAACAACAGTAATTTGAAATTCAGTTATAGATCCTTGACATTTATGAGCAAGTAAATAAGATTTTATCTGAATAAAAGTGCACAAAGAAAAGAAAAAACAAACAAAAGTGCAGGTTTTGTGGCACTAACTTTCTGTTTGTCGTGTCTAGCCTCTGTTAACAGTCGGAAGGACAAATCTCTGAGGGTGATGAGCCAGAAGTTTGTCATGCTCTTCCTGGTGTCTAATCCTCGCGTGGTCAGTCTGGACGTGGCCGCCAAGATCCTGATCGGAGAGGACCAGGGTGCCGATCAAGACAAGAACAAGTTCAAGAGTGAGAACAAGGCCTGGTGTATGGTTTTTACATCTCATCATGGAGAACAGTCTATTTAAGGCTTTTTGTTTCAGTGCCAGCACATTCAGAGTGATCTAGATGATGCAGTGTATTAGTGTTAGTTCATTAATGTAATTTTAATAGTGTGGAAGGGCCTGAAGACACATGTACAAATGTTATAAAGTTATAAAGTAACGCAAAGCTATTTAAATCTTCTAAAATGCATCATACATGATACATTTATTACCAGTATAAGATGCTTAAAGTCAGTTTTATTGCATACGCATGCACAATTACTGCACTCCATCCTTATTTTAAAGTATTTATGGAGAATATGTGGCGTAATGGCATGTAGTGCAGTGGATGGAAATACTCCAACATTGTCCCGCTGGCTGCACGAGCTTTAAACGCAGGTTCTGTGTCAGTGGATAATCCTGGCGTTTGCTCTGCTCGTCTGTTTGCAGCCAAAGTGCGCCGGCTGTACGATATAGCTAATGTGCTGCGGAGCCTGAAGCTCATCGAGAAAGTCCACGTGACGGAAGAGCGGGGGAGGAAACCGGCTTTCGAATGGGTCGGCCCCGAAGAATTCCCACAAATCAAAGGTATCACCAGAGTCCTTTTCTCCCATCTGGTTATTGCTTCGATTCGAACAGTTAAAGGGAATGTGGGATCAAGTTTATATAAATGTCTTAATGTATTAATGTTTCAGTGCCAAATTATTATCTCCTAGTTTCGCAGACTAACAATAATCTCTTGTTTCAGACTTGGAGGACTCCACATCCGAATGTTCCTCCAAGAAGAAAAGTGTGCTGGAGTCCCGTGCGTCCGTAGACAACTGTGCCAAAAACTTGTTTTCAGCATCGGGTGCTAAACGCAGCTTCACCCGACACCCCTCCCTCATAAAGCTGGCAAAGAGCATTCAGGACGACCGTCGCAAGATCAATTCTGCTCCCAGCAGTCCCGTCAAGAGTTCCCCCGGTGAGTAAATGTTTCTCCAGACAAAGGTTACTCGTGTGGTGTTTGTTTGTAAATGACACTGACCATCTTTTCCTCTTTTGTCTTCAGGCGATTCGTCGAACACCGACTTCCCAAACAAAATGGCCCAACTTGCTGCTATTTGTAAGATTGAACTAGATCAGAGGTCAGTTTTGTTACTTTTAGACTATTAATCAACTTAAAGTTGGCTCTTTAAATTAAATCTGGTGTGTCTGTGTGTTAGTGGAGTTGATAAGGCTGGTAAGAATGCCGCTGACTATACTGTACATATAGTTTCAGAGAGTAGTAGGATGTGTTGTCAGTCAGAAAATAACACAGCGCTGAGGATGTCGGATTACTGGTCAACAAAATTCTCCAAATAATGAGTTAATTGTTAGTATATGAGTTGATTTTTAGAGCTTTTGAATTGTTTGTAATACGATACTGTTAACCCTCAAAACTGAAGCAAACTAACAGCAATAGATAAATGAATGCTTTGATTGAGAACAAGAGAAAGATAAAACAGTTTCAGCTCCCAGGTTTAGATTTTATGAGGTTGTGGATTTCTAAAATATTAAATCAAAGTCTGGCTTCTGTTCCAGGACTGGAGCTAAACATCCAAAGCCTGCTGCTGCTGCTGCTGCTGCTGAGGTGGACACGGCTTCTGTGAGGCTACAGCCGACCTCTTCCATTTCAAAGGAGCCGCCTCAGGCACTGTTTCTAACTCCAACCCATGAGCCCAGAGCCAACACTACGGTCCACGTCACCCCCCACACCTCGCTGACATACATCTCCACACAATGTTCATCCCTGATCCCTGTGTTGTTACCTCAGCAGCGGGGCGGTGGGCCCTACGCTGTGTATCTGCAGCCTTCTTCCGCCAGGCCGAACCCCCTGGCCAGGCCGCAGCCCACCAGCCTCGCCGTGCGCTCTATGACCTTTGAGGATAAGACCGGGCAGAGCCCGACCGGCCAGTTTGCACCAAAGAGTCAGTCGGCCTCCAGGGCGTCAGACGCCAGCCCCTTGGCGCTCAAACGTCTGCGTTCAGATTCAGTCTCAGAGAGCAGCCCCTCCAAAGCACAGAGGACCGACCCCAACTTTAAGGTAAATAAACATCCTGAGTGATTTAACGGAACGTTGTTCTTTTCTAAAACATTTTAAAATGCTTGTTATTTATCTCTGACAAACAGTATTTCCCTCCCTTTCTTTCTCCCACAGGACACCTCTCCAAAGCTGTGTGAGATCCTGCAGGCCCGTCTGAAGGCTCGTCGCGGCACCCAGCTCTCGAGCCGGCCGTCGCCTCGCGCCCTCCACCTCGACCCGGAGTTTGTCAACACGCCTGGCGGCGCCGTCGCCAATCAGGCGCTAGAGCAGAGCTTGGAGACCTTCCTGGAAAGAGAGGACAAGACGGCGAACTCTGACAGCGAGGCAGGATTAACACCGGTCAGAGCTGTTCCCCTCACGCCAGGACACATCCACACCGAGGTACGTGCACAAAGACGACACCAGAGTCAGAGACCTAAGACCTTCTCATTGTGTCAGTCGATTCAACGTCACATTTCTCTGCTTCCAGAATATAATACCAGCCGGATACCTGATCCCAATCTCCCATCAGTCCCTCATCGGCTACAAGGAAGCTCAATGTTCAGGGAGAGAAAGCAACAAGGCCTCAACTCCAACTTGCAACATTTACCAAACACCAACAGCAGGTAAATATGGCACTGAAGGTCAGAAATGTTGCTTTTGAAATTTGAAATCTATGAATTCATTTTCATCTTCATTTTAGTTTTAGGGCTTTTTACTTTCATTTTTTATTAGCTCAAAATTAAATGAGGATTAGATTAAGAGTCTACACACACATAAATAACTGGATTGTTTTATTTTGTCCTCACCAGGCTCCAGACCTTCACCCGCCCAGGAGATTACACCCACCAGCCTTCGTCTTCACAAACCCGTTGCTGCTGCTGCCGCCGCCTCGCCACACGCCACCCAGCAGGCCCACCGCCTCCACAGCCCCAGTCAAGCCATCCTCAACTTCACCCTGCAGAACCTGGGTCTGATCTCAGGCTCCAGCCCAGGAAATGGCTTCGCTACCCCCCAGACTCCAGAGTGTGCCGGCACCATGCCCAGCCCGCTGGCTCTGCAGCAGAGAGGCATGGTTTTCATCAAGCCTGTGTCGCCTGTGCCCATCCAGCAGTCGGTATCCGGGCAGCAAGTGGCCCTGATCAGTTTACAACAGGTAACCACTCAACCTGTGAGAACAGATGTATAATGTCTTCTTCTGTGGCTCTTGAGAAAATTACTAAATGCAACCTGAGTAATAGTATGAGGGGGTAAAATCTCAACTTCTGCTGCAGTTTTGATTAATTTTCTTTGCCCATTCTTACGGAAGTGTAATACTAAATACTCTTTTACATTAAAAATCAACTCTGGGATGCCCATAGGTTCTCCTCGCTTTTAATAATAATATCAAAAAGTTGTCAAATTGAATGGAATACTACAAAAGGGAGAGAGGAGGTGTTGAAATTCCACTCAATAGATCAGACTTCAGATCAGATTGGAATTCTGCTATTTTATTTAACACATAATTATAACAGGAGTATTTACAAAACCAAAGAATTTACAAAACGACAACAGAAATACAGGGACATGGATAAACTGCACAAACATACGCGCCTTTGTATTTCACCTGTGAACCAATAAAACCCCTTCAGTCAGTACTTTTAAAGGGTCAAACCACAACAAGAAACTAAGGGTAGTAGGCATGTTTAGTTGGTTTTGAGTTATCATCATGGTTGTTTCTTCGAGAGGAAGCAGTTCCATTGAAAACTGTTCACACTGTGGATTATCGGAGTAATCTGTTAGAGCACATCCTTTAAAACAAAAGACTAACTGAACGCTGTCTTGTTTCCCAGCCTCTGATGACCACCCCCAAAGGGACGGGGCTCCCCCAGCACAGCTTCTTCCACACGCCGGTCCCCCTCTCCCCTCTTGCTACCATGGTAACCAGCGGTGGACACCTGGCCACCAATACAGTTTACATCCCTCAGAGGAAGCTGGACGTCGCCACCGAGGACTCGTGAAAACCTCCGAAGGGAAACCTCTGATGTCTGACGTGTGTGTGTGTGTGTGTGTGTATATATATGTTTGTACGGGTGTTTGTGTTATGGGTGGGTTATTCTCGCTTTTTCTTTTTTCTTTTAGCATTTTAAAGCATTCATTACCTCACAGCGGGCTCACTGCCTTCATTCACAGCCAGCTCTAAAAGTAGCTGCCGTGCAGACTTTCGGCTGTGGCCCGGTGGACACATGGAAACCAGATTACAGAGCGAGTTCACCAGATACTTATGAACACTATTGTGATTGCTGGTTGGAACTGGGACAACATTTGCATAATCTAATGGAGGAGAGTTAATTTTCTTTTGTTTGTTTGTTTGTTTGTTTCACTTATTTCTGTTATTCTGGGAGAACACTGATTTTTTTTTTTCCCCCCCTTTTCAAATTACCAAGAGTAGTAAAAGTCACATCAATATTATAAATAAAAATATAAGTCAGATGGACGTTTTTTGACTGAAAGTTTGATTGGAAACACGTTGATTGATTATTTTGTTCAATCTGGTGATAGGACTTTTGCACACATGTACCTGTTACCCCCTGTTAAGAAATGTAATTGTTAAAGAGAATGTGAATATGTGATTCATTTTAAGACTAATCAGACATTTTTTGTTTAATTAAATTTAATTTATAAGGAAATTACTTTCATTTCTGTTGTCCTGTAAAATGTAAAACATTTTAATACATGTTTTCTAAGAACATTGCGTGATGTCCAGTTGCTTGTTTTGTCTGACCAACGATCCAAAACCAGAATATCTGTTACATAAATGATGCTATAAAACAGAGATTTTGACTTTAACGATTAATTGATTTTCAAAACTGAAGACAATTGTCAATCAAATGATCGTTTCAGCCCAATACTCATGGCCTCCGGAGAATGAACGACTTAACTACAATAATTAATTTCAAGACAGGACACATTTAGTTCTAGTTCTAGTAAGTTCTGCTTTGATAGTAATGCTAATATAATGTGTATATATATATATATATATAAACGTACCATAAGGTTACATTCCTTCCTCATAAAACATTTGTAAAACCGATTTTATAACCTGTATCTTTAATATCCATGTTTACTAGCTTGCTGTCTTCAGCACTGCCTTTGTTGTTGCACTGCTGTGCTTCTTGGTGCTTTATCGGCTCTGTGGTGCTACTGGAGCTCTAAAACTCCACCAGGAACCATTAAAGGCCCAGTGTGTAGGATTTAGTGACATTTAGTAGTTCACAACATTACTTCACCCTTCAAAATGCGAAGGAGAAACTACGGTGGCTACGAAATACGTTGAGAAACGTGAAAATCTATATAGTGCCAGTAATTGTTTGGTTTTTCCCTTCTGGGCTGCTGTAGAAACATGAGCTATAGCTCTGTAGCTATAAAGGTTCTTAACAAAAACATAATTCTATTTTCAGTTGATTTTACACTAATAAAACCGCAGTTTGTGCTCAGTATATTGAATTTCTGCCA